GACTCCAACCACATTGGAAGAAACCATCCTTTCTGTTATAAGAGCTGCTAGATTGCTAGAAGGGATTCCAGTAATTGAGTTCCAAAGACCAATGAGTTCCTGTCGTGGGAGTCTCCCTGGGCAATCCGTACTTTGGCTTACTACTTCAAGGTTTGTGGAGCTAACTAACTATGGCTCCAAGCCAATGGATAATTGGGATACTGCATGCAAGGCTGCTTGGTCGGGAGCTCCATCCCCACATACTGCTACACAGTTTGGACGGTGTGACTCTGACATCTTAAAGCCATTATATTGCGGCAAGGTCGCTACTACAGACCAGTGTAATGCATTGAGCTGCTTTAGGTTCCAGGTAGTCAAGGTTTGCGTTAGTCCACGTGTTGGGCCTTTTTCGTTCTGTCATTTGTTTGTTATTCTGAGTGCGGTCCTTCATTACAGCTCGTAGTGCTGCATCGTCGTAACTGCCATTAGGTTTAAGCATTACTGAGCCTCCACAGCTGACAAGGAGCCTGAACATTAGCCAGCACAGAACCCTATGTGAGCCACAGTCAACATCAGCCAGATAACTAGTGGACATGAGTCCTTCTAAGGAGGCCCATTAGAGACTAGACTGAACTACCAAAGAGACCCCTAGCTCAACCCTTGAGGATCTCTTGGTAACCGTAATCTTGACAATAGCTCACGGAAACCCAATGGAACCCTTTTCCCCCCTGAACCCTGAACCATGCTTTGAGGAGTGTACTTGCCAGCATGGGGCGGAGCCTGCACTACCTCTGGAGCCAGCTGCTCCACCTATGTAGGCATCAGGACTGTGCAAAAAACTGTGGCTTTTTTAAGCTGTCAGTCTCCTAGTGGGATATTATGTGGGTGGACCCCCCACCCAGTAATAGTGACTATAGGGGATAATAGGGATTATATTAGGGTCCTCTTATATTCCTATTATACCACTATTATAGGGTGCGGGGTCCTCCTAAGATATTATGTAGGATATGTACAGGGTTTGGAAAGGACTACAGGGCCCAACCGCGGTTACAAATCATTGGTTCGGGTCACACTCAAAGACCCAAATGAACAATTGCTAGCAACAGAGTTTCTTTATTGGGTTTCAAGCTTCCGTTTGGCTTTATGAGGGCCTGCCAACAAACCTGACCTGTGCTTCTTTCGGAATATTCTGGCATGCAACGGTGTCTAGAGTAAGTTCGAAGTGCAGCTGCAGCGCACCAACGTTGACACAGTGATTCGCACACTTCTGAAAAGGAGTCGTCCTATTATACACGAGAATAACCGGATCATGAGCTTTAAACGCACGCTCATGTTTGTGAATTCCAATCTGCACCTCTCACAGCAAGGGTTGTGGTCATTAGAGGGAGGGTTTGCGGTTCGTCTCTAAAGGCAGGCACATTTAGCAATTTCCTTAAATAGGGGGACCCCAATATAGACCCCAAAATACTATAACCCTTATGATGGGCTCCCCTAAGAAGGTACCCCTAATTTTGGGAAACCACCAGTTTGGGCAAGGCGCATGGTTGTTGATGCCATAGAACCAAGCTTTCCGCGGCTTCGCGACCTGAGGTCAGATCATCCGTTGCGTGTTACTATTACTACTACTATTGTTACTATTACTATATTGGGGTAATATTGGGATAATGGAAAATAAAATGGAAACTAGATAGGATTATATACGGGTGATATACCTTGCGCCTTCCGAAGTGTGCTTGCTAGAGTATCTTATTGGGGGTTAGTAGGGACTGAGGGAATATATTACATTTTCTCATATTCCCTACTAACCTCCAGTAAGGTATGGGCCTTGGATTCTTAAATGGGGCACGCCAGGACCTGGTGGTGGGGGTGGGATCTTCTGCACGTACTCCAGCTGCTGCCAGTCTGACCGACGTTACGATGTTGCTAGTGTTCTATTATACTGTTACCATCATTGCATGAGTATATCTTGCTGGCACTGGGACTTTGCTAGGTTTCTATCTATAACAGCCCAAGGCAGAAACACTCACACTGTTGAACTGTTGAGAATCCTGTCACTGTAGCTGCGGGGGTTTCCAAAATAGGGGTCCCTCTGATATGCCTCAAAGCGTCGCAATCCCTCCAGGAGCCCCCTAAACCGTAAACACCCGTGCAATCCCTCTACATATCCCTAACCTATATACTCCTACGTCCGTAAACACTTTCAAAATTCCGCCCTAATATGGACCTCTCTCTCTCTCCTGCGGACTCAGTTGCCTGTGGGCCTATGGCCCTCAAACCACTATAACCCTGATTGCTATACCCTGAACTGAACCCTAAACCGTGCACCACCTGAAAAAGGTACCCCTAATTCTGGGAACCCCTAAACCATGTATAACCCTTTATAACCCCTACAAGCCCCTTTAAAGGTACCCCTAATTTGGGAACTTTTTCGCATGAGAAACCTCTTCTGCTGGCTCGGGGGATGCCACGGGAATCTCCACTGGCTCCTCCTCCTTCACAGACCAATAGCTGGGTTTCTCAAGGGTGGTCTGGGTACCTTAGGAGTAAATTATAGCTAGTACCAGGAATTCCCCAGTTGAGGTAGTATATAATATACGGATTATGTTGGGAAATACCCACTTCAAACTCTGCACAAACTACAACTTCACGCGAGTATGACACAGGGCGTCTCCTCTTTGATGCATTCCTGTCCTCCAGTAAGGATTCTCACCGGGATACTGGCAATCGGATGCGTAAATAAACCCTTTGCTCTTCATTCATCGGGGCATTGGACCACCCCCAAGTTGACCCATGAGACCCTAAACCCTACCTAGACCCTCCAATGTAGTTCCTTTTTGGGTTTGGTATGTTTTTTTGGTTAGGGCTTTCAATAGGACTACCAAAAAGGTACTACATTGGAGGGTCTAGGTAAACCCTAAAGCCCCAAACCCTGAATCCTTAACCCTATTCCAGCCGCGCCGGCGTCCTTTTTGCCCTTCTTCGGGGCCATCCTCCCAAACTTGAGCCCGAGCCAGCGAAAGGCGATTGCAAGTTTACTGGTGACCGGGCTGGGGACTCAGCCAAGTTTTCAGAAAAGGGCTTCAGGTATGTGGCCAAATTAGAAGAGATCACCAACCTGAATTCAAGGGCTATGTCATACACCTTCATCTATAAATATATATATATAACGGATCATCCAACTGTTACTGAGGGCAGTATCCAAATCATGCAAACTGCTGCTTGCAGCATCTGTTTGGGATGTCAGTAGACATCTGCAGCCAGAACAGGAGGACCCCAGTATAGATCCTAAAAGACTAGAATCCGTATTAGGAGGGCCCCAAAAAAGGTACCCCATGGTACCCCGAATTTTGGTAAACCCCCCATCTAGAGCAACCGCTTTACAAGCAAAAGTTAAGCGATTCTCTTACCAGATGGGACCCCGATATAGTTAGCATGGTCCTTGGTAGTGCAGTCACCACTAGTGCGCAGGGGTTCTTTCGCAAGCAACAGAGGTTCTGTCCGACCCAAACCGAACATGAAGCCACAAAGCCTTCTAAAGAGGCGGTAATCTGTGTAGGCAAATGGTGGTGCTTCCAAGGTAGTTCAGCGGAGCGCAGCATTGATGAAGATCTTGTGCCCACTTATCTTGGTAGCTCGAACACGACTTCTGCCTGCTGATCCCAAACCTTACTGGTTCGAGGCATGGGCCCCTGAAACAGTCCCTGGATAATCCCCAAGGGCGTAGGCGTTTCCGCTGTCATGTCCCTTCCTTCATTTCCTACGGGCCAACAGTCATTTAATCCTATACTGGCCCCTACACAATCCCAAAATCCATTTCACTTACCATCGATTGTCAATTTCATTTCCCCAGTATTCACTCCCAAACTCAAAGTTACCACCAGTAAGTAAGCCGGGAATCCTAAACTTAACTTGAAGCTGTATGACAGCGCCGTACCCAGGGACCAGTTTATCACCAACAAGAAGACAAACCCCCCTCAGCACCAGACTGCTATTTCGGGTAGTTCACATTCACGTCGCACGATTTTTCCATGTCACGCATGTCCGATGCCAGGTCTCTGGAAAAAGGGTTGACATCCCAGTAAAGGGAGATCAGTCCTAAACCCTAAACCCTAAACAGTCCTACTGCAACATTCACAGGCTGGGCCCCGAAGTGCTGCGCGTTCCTTAGGAAGTGCTCGCGCAGGTTGAGTTGCTACGAGGCTGCCAGCATTTTACGGCAGCACAGCTGCAGTAGTCCATGAGTTTCATGAAGTTCCTTGAGAATCTTTTCATTCTCATGCTTGAGCATGACGATGTCAATAGCTTTGGCCAAGCCTTTCAACTGCATAACACCTTTGCAGAACTCTGTGATAGTGATTAGGCCGTCTCCTTCAGCCAGGATTTCGAACAGCGGCTCGCAGTCTCGCAGGGTGACATCTAGGTAGCCCATGTACCTGGGTTTAGGGGTTTAGGGTTTAGGGGTTTAGGGTTTAGGATTTAGGGGTTTAGGGTTTAGGGTTAAGGAGCTTAGATTTAATTACTATATTGGGGGAAATCCTATTCTTTGCTATATATACCCATTATGGTAACTTAATTTACGTTCCTTAACAGCAACCCAGGTACTGTTCTACACTTGGCAGACTGCAGGCTGACCGAAACTCCTCGAGTGTCAGGTGGCCATCGCCATCATCGTCCACCAAACGGAAGAGTTCTTCCAGTCTCCGCTGGTATCTTTGGGAGGTTGACCTTGAATCTTCCATCATCATTTCCGCATCATTCTCTGCGCTTTGCAATGTTTCTTTGATGAAAAGGGCGGTCACTATTCTCAGGATAGCAAAAACCACGAAGGTCACATATGGTAGGAAAAGTCCAGCATACCACAGACTGACCCTCTCGAGAACTGGCCTGACTAGCAATGGCCAACCCCCGGATAGGGTTATCTCGAACATCGTGTACATTGATTTCAGAAAGCTGCCATACAGGTTGTTCATCTGCACGCGGACGTCCATGTCTGTCTCCTCATCCATAATTACGCCTTGAAGAGCCTGGCAGATGAAGTTGCATGATGCAACACATAATGAATAACATAGCAAGAGAGAGAAAGAACACGACACAAATTAGCTGGCATCAAAAAGCAAGAAGGTGGTGATACTGTCGGCAGTAGATGCAGGCGCCTCTGTTGCATCCTTGTCGCTGTTGTCACTGTTGCGATGTTTAATCATGGTGGTTGTGATGTTGGAAGGTTTTTCGGGCAGCGGCGGTTGCAGTTGCAGTAGTCTTCGTAATCGGAGGTCGGAGGCAGCCGTACTGCTGCCACTGCTGCTACTGCTGATAGGACGAGGAGGACGTCTGACGAGTACCAGCACCACCACAGTGTCACGACCATGACTATCATCACCACAACTATCATGACCACGACAACTAGGAGCATCACGACCGCCACCACAACGACTATAACGATTTCTGAACGGTGGAGGTTAGATGAACCATGGCTGTTGTGGCTTGCAAACGGGAGGAGCAACGACTGAATGAAGGACGCGGAGTCAGTCAGAGGTGAGTGGCGGCTGTGGTGTTGGGTGTGTTGATTGCAGTAGCACTGGCAGAATTCCATGGCTACAACCCCCTGTACAGCTATCATAACTAAGTTTCAAAAGCCTGGCAGATGATCAGCGCAAATGTCAGCTTGCACATCAGCAAGAGGATGACAGACCAGATCAGCGCAAAGAAGCTCGCCACACAGCACGAAACAAGGTTTCGCAAGTGGCGAAACATCGATACTGTTTTGAATATCCGGAGGGATCGGGCTACGCGCAGCAGCTTCATCATACGTATGTGGTTCGGATTAAGATCTCCCTCCCATGAGCTTGTAATGGCTGGAAACAAGATCAGCTCAAAGAAATTGACAGATACCAAAATGGCATCAAACGCGTTAAGATACATCCTGCCACGATGAGGATCGAACCACCATTCGCTGCGTAGCACCGCCACTCGCAGCGTAAGATCCAAGATGTACAGGGAGAAAAACACGTACTCGGAGATGTCGAACATCTCTTGCCGAATCCAGCTTGGGCCTTCAGCCTGTATTCCCACACTCATGTCAGCAAGTGATCCTGTCCACTGCGTATGCCATATCATCATAGCCACATTAATGATGACCACGACTCCAGCATACAAATCCAAAGGGCCTTTGACAAATGCCTTCAGAGGTGGATCCGGTTCCCACGTTTCTCTCATCACCTGTGCGCCAAGATTTTGGAAGGTTCGGCCTGTGTGGAGGCGCCGAGTCTTACGTTCAGCCAGATCAGCGGTGGTGGCTGAATCTTCGGGACCCTTCTCCTGCCAGCCAGCAACTTGCCCCATTTGAGTTTGTTTGTTTTTCTACGTTCTCTTACAGAGAACTTGCCTGATCTATCTTAAGGCTATCAACGTTTTTGTGTTGCGCCAGTGCCTCTGACAGGGTCACCTTCTCTGCCGATGTTTGAGGACTCTCTACCAGTGCTGCAGGAGTAGTGGCTAGGGAAACCAGCGCATGATTCGGGTCCAACAGTTCTCGGAGGAGCGCCTCTTGTTCTGAAAACTTCTGGTCCAAGGCTGTCAGCAGGACAGAACACAATTCAACCTGCCACTCGTGCACTGAAGAAGGTGAGGAAACCAAGGGCCCGAAGGGATTCAGGGCCTTGTCCTGCTTCTCCGAAGTAGGCACGGGCATCTAGTCCATCATGCGCCTTACTGACCTGACTTTACGGCCTACACTTGAGTCTGCAGGTGATAGCTGCCAGCAATGGGATTGCATCACTCACACACGTCATCTCTAAGCTTCTGCCGGAGGCCGTCTTGACCGTCTTAGCCTGAAAGCATGTCATCTTCACCGGGCAATACGATCATCACGAAAAAATATGCCGTGACTAGTAGCAACAAGCATTATGGATGATGCATCTTATGAAACCGCCCTGCCTTCTATTCTGGGCTGCTGATAAGAAACTAAATTCAAGTTACCATAATTGGTATACATAGTAGATAATAAGGTTTCTCCGATATAGTAATTACGGTCCCTCACAGCAACCCAGTATTCTCCACAATCCTTTTTATCTGATTGAGGCGTCTTCCGGCCCGCCGTTCGGCGGGCAGAGGCCAGTCTCTTGTGACACGTGTGTCATGATCCCCAACATCTACAGATGGGAGTGCCTCTACTTTCTGGTAAGAAGGCTGTTTGGGGCTTAGGGTTTAAGAATGTAGGATTTTGGTTCTTAATTACCGGGGAGAGCTATGTGACCACTATGGCCGCTATGGGGATCCATTCCTCTGTTCCTTACTATGTGTCCACCAGCAAGTCTGAGGCTGTAGGGCTGTAAAGCTTGGTTCGGGGAGTTTACGGATTGCGGGGAGAGCTTCAGGGCACGTCGGAATTTTCCAGGATTCCAGGGTCCCCCTTTGTACTTTTCAAGCACCTCCCTAGTGACAAAGAATCAAACCCCACCGACATCCCAATATCGTGAACCCTAAACCAGTACTTCGGTGCTAGGGGACGTGATTGGTAATCATCACGTTTCATGTCCCTAGTCTGCATCGTTAGGAGGAAGCCCCTGGAATTTGGAAATTTCACTGTCGTGCCTGGCTGCCCAGGTCGAGATGTGCTGCTTAAAAAACCCTGGCGCTTGTCAAGGAATGAAGAAAGGATGCTCAAAAAACACATTTTCCTACATTCCTGCGCGCTATCTCAGGTAGCATCCCTCATTCCCTATGAAGCACCCGGGCAAACATGAATGGCTAAACGCACGAAGACATCCACCATCGAATCTACAGCGGCGCTTCTTATGCACGCGAACCAAATGGTACGATTGCTGTCAGGTCTAAGCAGCTTGCAACTCAACCGAGTTGCGGCCAATGTGGGGCGGAAGCTTGTGCAAAATGGGAAGGCATTCAGTGGCCTGTGCGAGCATAACTGCCAAATCAGCCTTGCTTGCTGCGCTGTGTTGCTGCACTATCCTGCGGAATTTGCCGGGGACGAAAAGCCTTGGAAAGTGCGCGTATGTTGCGGCGAATTTGCTTGCACTCGCTCATCAGCTTCTCATTTTCCTGGCCGCGGCTTGCATTTGACAAGCGCTACAAGGTGATAGCTTCCAAACTGTTCACCTCACTCTAAATGAACTCCAATATATTCTGAGGTAGCAGGTTCTTGAAAACACCCTGCGAAGTATACTTAACCGCACGTGCAAAGCATCTTGACCAAAAAGAAAACTTGCTTCTTGCATCCAGGCACGTGCTGAAGAATCACGATATCAAGGGCCCTAGCTTGACCTTTAAGCTGGGTGATGCCCTTGCAAAACTCCTGGGCTGTTGTTAAGGAACTGAAATTAAGTTACCATAATGGGTACATGTAGTTCATAACCGGGTTTCCCCAAAATAGTAGCTTAAATGCAGCTCCTTAATTCCCTATATTCCCACAGTTTTCATTTCATGTTCCATTGTCATGTCCATTTGATTCTCCATTATAGTGGGATAATATAGCCCTGAACCCTAAGCCCTATGTACCCATTATATGCCCAGACTCAGCTATGGTGATGAGGCCATCGCCCTCGGCAAGGATTTCAAACAACGGCTCGCACTCCCGAATCCTGGGTTGCTGTTAAGGAACTTACTCTAAGCTACTATATTGGGGGGAAAATACCGCGGTTTTGGGTTTATGGTTTGGGGTTTATTGGGTTTCTCATGGGTATCTTGGGTTAGGTTTAGGGTTTTGGGCTATATTATCCCCTTATAATGGAGAATCAAGTGGAAAGAACATGGAAAATGAAATGGAAACTGGGGTTATATAGGGAATCAACCAACTTCATTTAAGTTACTATATTGGGAAACCCTTTTATTTACTATACCTACCCATGATGGTAGCCTAATCAAAGTTCCTTAACAGCAACCCAGCATCGTCACATCCATGTACTTCAAGTAATTCGCCACGCTTGGCATATTGACGGCCGTGCGGAATTCTTCCAATGTCAACTGTCCATTACCATCATCGTCCACCAACTGGAAAAGTTGCTCCAACCGCTTTTGATACCTTAAAGAACTTGATCTGTTCTCTTCCATCACCATCTCGGCATCATTCGAGGCAGTCTGCAAGGTCTCTTTGATGAAAAGCGCAGTCACGATTCGCAAAACAGCAAACACCACCACAGCCACATATGGTAGGAACAGTGCCGCATACCACGCATCTACCTGCTCCACAACCGGTCGTACAAGCAGCGGCCATCCCCCGGACAGGGTTATCTCAAACATGGTGTACATGGCCTTGAAGAAGCTGCCATACCAGTTGTTGATCAATAAACGAGTCTCAAGGTCTGCCTGATCATTCCTCCGCTGGCGCACATCTCGAGGCAAATCAACTTAAGGAATGAGTAGGAAAAAATTAGTCAGCGTTTGAAACCCGAAGGCGGATGACTTGACAGTTGGAGTGATGCAGTGGAAGCAACACACCCATCTAGGATTTTGGATTGAGCCAGCTTTTTTTCATATCCTAGCATCTTAGCTCTATGTAGCCCTTATATATAGCGCCCATGAAGGGAACCCATTGGCTTGTTCAGGGAGACTTTTGGGCGGGGCTTGTGCTTGGGACTTAAAGCAGCGTCAGCAGGAGAACCCGTGGACCCTAAACCCTAAACCCTCCAGAACTTTATAGGGAGAAGCCACCTTGGGGACACACACATCCACGTGAAGAGCAGAACAACAAGTTGAAGCAGTATTGTACTTGTTGTGCAACGTTCTTGTTTTGCAAAATCACTGCATGTTATTTTCGTTCGTTTTGCTTGTTGCTACAATCCTCTGATATATAGCAGCAAAGTGGTGCTAGTTGCATTTGGTGCTTTGCATTGAGTACTACGTTCTGGAGTTGGCTAGGGTGACGGACGCAAAACTTCAGAAAAGTGCAAACCGCACTATGTGTTTTGTTTGCATTGCGTTGTTTGGCGTTAATTTACTACTGATTACAGTCTATTACCATTATTACTATTGTTATTAGTAGTAATGTGGCACCCCAATTAATGAAGGGGTCCGGAATAATGAAAAGTTTCGGGGAAGCTATTCAGAATCAGCTATTGTTTGAGGGTTCGGAATAATGAAAAGTT